CCCACCTTTGGAGGTGATCGATGCCTGCAACCATCCAGCCTCATGGCCTTACCCATGATGGGTTTTTGATTTTGAACACAGTCCACCTTCAGAGGTAGTCGATATATGCGACCATCCAGCCTCATGGCCTTAAACATGATGGGTTTTTGAGTTTGAGCACATGCCCACCTTAATAAATGGTCGATGCATGCGACCATCCAGCATCATGGCCTTAAACATAATGGGTTTTTGATTGTGAACACATGCCCACCTTAAAAAATGGTCGATGCATGCGACCATCCAGTCTCATGGCCTTAAACATGATGGGTTTTTTATTTTGAACACGTGCCTACCTTCAAAGGTGGTCGATGCATGTGACCATCCTGCCTCATGGCCTTAAACATGATGGGTTTTTCCACTGTTGGACTCCTTGTTGACGCCTATGTATTCACGCTCTTCCACCGAGCCCAAAGGCCTTATTCCTGGTGGGTTTGACTCCACACTTGCCCACCTAATCCGAGGGGTGTTCCAAACAGGAGGTCACCTAGCTTGAAAGCGTGAGTTTTCGACCAACCTGCCCATCCCAAGGGTGTTCTAAAAAAGCAACCACCTAGCCAGAAAGCTTATTCCTGGTGGAATTTGTCTTCACTCTTGCCCACCCAATCTGAGGAATGTTCCAAACAGGAGGCCACCCTGCTCGAAAGCGTGAGTTTTCGACCAACATGCCCATCCCGAGGGGTGTTCTAAACAAGAGACCACCAGCTCGAAAGCCTTATTCCTGGTAGAATTTATCTTCACACTTGCCAACCCAATCCGAGAAATGTTCCAAACAGGAGGCCACCCATCTTGAAAGCGTGAGTTTTCGACCAACCTGCCTATCCCAAGAGGTGTTCTAAACAAGCGACCACCCAGCCCGAAAGCCTTATTCCTGGTGGAATTTGTCTTCGCACTTGCCCACCCAATCCGAGGAATGTTCCAAACAGGAGGCCACTCAGCTTGAAAGCATGAGTTTTCGACCAACCTGCCCATCCCCAGGGGTGTTCTAAACAAGCGACCACCCAGCCCGAAGGCCTTATTCCTGGTCGAATTTGTCTTCACACTTGCCTACCCACTCCAAGGAATGTTCCAAACAGAAGGCCACTCAGCTCGAAAGCGTGAGTTTTCGACCAACCTTCCCATCCTAAGGGATGTTCTAAACAAGCGACCACCCAACCCGAAAGCCTTATTTCTAGTGGAATTTTTCTTCACAATTGGCCACCCAGTCCGAGGGATGTTCCAAACAGGAGGCCACCCAGCTCGAAAGCGTGAGTTTTCGACCAACCTGCCCATCCCAAGGGGTGTTCTAACAAGCGATCACCCTGTCCGAAAGCCTTATTCCTGGTGGAATTTGTCTTCAAACTTGCCCACCCAATCTGAGGAATGTTCCAAAAAGCAGGCCACCCAGCTCGAAAGCGTGAGTTTTCGACCAACCTGCCCATCCCAGGGGGTGTTCTAAACAAGTGACCACCTAACCCGAAAGCCTTATTCCTGGTGGAATTTGTCTTCACACTTTCCCACTCAATCCGAGGAATGTTCCAAACAGGAGGCCACCCAGCTCGAAAGCGTGAGTTTTCGACCAACCTGCCCGTCCCAATGGGTGTTCTAAACAAGCGAACGCTCAGCCCGAAAGCCTTATTCCTAGTGGAATTTGTCTCGCACTTGCCCACCTAATCCGAGGAATGTTCTAAACATGAGGCCACCCAACTCGAAAGCGTGAGTTTTCTACCAACCTGCCCATCCCAAGGGGTGTTCTAAACAAACGACTTCTAATCCAATCAGTTTAAACATCATGACATCCAGATCATACCAACATGCCATACGTAAGAATGTGCGAAATAAGAAGAATGTATTGTAAGAAAACAAAATTCCATTCGAACTTGCGAGTTACATTATTTTCGACTTTTCCGAACTTTCCCAAGAAAAAAGAAAAAATTTCACACATAATATTTTTTCAAATTAGCAATGTTCCATGACCTGGCTAGAGATCGTCCTTCAGCGTCCTTTAGAGAGTGCAATCCTCCCGCATGCACCTTTTCGACCAGGTATGGTCCTTCACAGTTCGGTTCCAGCTTTCCTACATGCTTTAGCATATTGATCCGTTTCCAAACAAAGTCGCCCACTTGGAAGCTGCGAACTTTCACCCTCTTGTCATGGGCTGCTCGCATCCTTTGCTTGTATGCTTCTATCCTGATCGATGCTCTTTCCCGAAGCTCCTCGATTGTATCCAAGGACGCCATCATTAGATCATCGTTTCGCTCCTATTCATATATGCTCGATCTCTGTGATAATAGATCGACCTGAATCGGCAACAATGCTTCCATCCCATAGACTAGACTGAACGGGGTTTCTCCTGTTGTCGACCTCGGGGTAGTGCGGTATGCCCAAAGTACTGAGGTTAGCTCATCGACCCACGCCCCCGAGGCCTTTTCTAGCCTTGTTTTCAGCTCGTTCAGTATGATCCTGTTGGTTACCTCAACTTGTCCATTGGCTTGCGGATGAGCAACTGAGGCAATGTGTTGCTCGTTCTTCATGTCCTCACACCATAATGGAATCCGCTTGCCATTGAATTGAGTTCCGTTGTCGGACACCAACACCTTCGGCACTCCAAACCTGCAGCAAATATTGTTATATAAAAAGTTGATGACTTTCTCCTCCGCGATTTTGGCCAAAGGTTCGGCTTCCACCCACTTCATGAAATAATCCACTGCCACGATAAAGAACTTCCTTTGTCCAGTTCCCTGCGGCATCGGCCTCACCAGGTCGATCCCCCATTGAGCAAATGGTATCGGGGCACTCATTGTTGTCATCGTCTCTGCCGGTTGATGAATCAATGGACCGTGCTTCTGGCACTACAAACATCTCTTAACCATCACCTTAGCATCCTCCTTCATCGTCGGCCAGAAATACCCTACTCTCAAGATTTTCGCCACCAAGGCCCCCGATTTGCTATGGTCACTGCAACACCTTTTATGCACTTCTCTCAGCACATATCGGCCCTCTTCCTTGGTCACACACTACAGATGTGGTCCAGCGTACAACCGCTTGTAAAGAATGTCTCCATGTTCGAAAAACCTCCTCACCACCTTCATCGCCCCCTCTTTTAATTCCCTAGGGATCGGGGCTCTCTAATCCTTGACCTCCTCGATCTCAACTACCTCTGCCTCGACCACGCTCTGCTCCAAATGTAACAAAGTCAAACTTCTACTTTCACAGTCCACCAAGCTCTGGGCAATCTTCGACAACAGATCTGCTCAACCATTTTCTCCTCGAAGAATCTGTATCAGCTCAAATAAATCGAACTCCTCCCTCAACTTCTTCATCCTAGCAACATACCTCTGCATCCTATCCTCCTTAACTTCAAGCCCCTCCTGAAACTGCCCGACTACCAATTGAGAATCAGAATGCACTTGTACTTTTCGAGCTCCCCTGGACATAGCTAATTGTAATCCTTTGATTACCGCCTCGTACTCAGCCTCATTGTTGGATACTCTGAACCCCACTTTAGCAGCAAACTCCAAGTAATCGCCCTTAGGGGAAACGAGGACAATTCTCAATCCCACTCCACTTCTTGCTACCGATCCATCCACAAATAACTGTCAAACTCCTAAAAATTCTTCCTCCATCTTTGTACCCTCCTGGATAATGTCGGCTAACACATGCGCTTTAATAGCCCTCCTTGGCTCATACATCAATGAGTACTCGCTCAGCTCAACTGCCCATTTTACCAATCGACCAGAGACCGAGGGCCGCCTGAGCATTTCCCCCAAAGGCATATCGTCCGCACCCTCACCTTGTGGTTCAAGAAATAAGGCCTCAACTTTCGAGCAGTTACGACCACCACCAAAGCGCACTTCTCAATCTCCGAATATTTCATCTCGGCTCTCTGCATCACCCTGCTCACATAGTAAATGGAAAATTGTGCCATCGCTTCCTCTCGCAACAACACTGAACTTACGGCCCTTTCTCCAATAGAAATGTATAACACCAATTCCTCTCCTTGAACCGGTTTGGCCAATAATGGCAGGTTGGCTAACACCCCCTGCAACTCCTCGAATGCATGCTGGGCCTCGTCAGTCCATTGGAACTTCGCACTCTTCTTTAATGTTTTGAACAATGGGCCGCTCTTCTCTGCCACTTTCGAAATAAATCGACTCAGCCTCGCAATTCGACCAGCAAAGATTGGCACCTCTTTAACATTTACCGGCGGTTTCATCTCCATCACCACTGGCACCTTCTCTGGATTCACTTCGATACCCCTCTTGGTCACCAAATATCCCAAGAACTTTCCTGACTTCACCCCGAAAGAACATTTAGCTGTGTTTAACTTCATCCCATACCTCCTGAATGTTAAGAACGTTTCTTTCAGGTCTCGCACATGATCGATCTCCTCCTTACTCTTCACTAACATATCGTCCATGTACACCTCCATATTCCTTCCCAACTGCTCCCTGAAAATCTTGTCTACCAACCTTTGATACGTGGCACCCGCGTTTTTCAAACCGAACGACATCACCACGTAACAATAAGTTCCTCGACTCGTCACAAAACTCACCCTCTTCCTATCCTCTCTCGCCAAGGGAATTTGATGGTATCCCTGAGAGGCATCCATCAAGCTCAACAACTCACATCCAACAGTTGAATCGACCAACTGGTCGATCCTGGGCAGCGGGTACAAATCCTTCGGGCATGCTTTGTTCAGGTCATGAAAATCAATGCACATTCTCAATTTCCCTTTCGCCTTTGACACCATCACCATGTTCAATAACCATTCTGGAAAGTGGATCTCATTAATATGCCCCGCTCCCAATAACTTCTCGACCTCCTACTCGATAATTCTATCCATCTTCGCCCCATTGGTGCCTTCTCTTCTGCTTCACCGGCCTCACGTTGAGGTTGATGTTTAGACGGTGCTCAATCACCTCTGCACTTATCTCCGTCAACTCCTCCGCCGTGTAGGCAAAAATATCAGCAAACTCCCTTACCAAACTAATAAGCCTCGACCTGATTGGCTCCTCCAGCTCTTTCTCGATTCTAAACTTCCTCTCCTCGCAACCTTCTATCATTTGGATCTCCTCAACCTCCCCACCGGGCTGGATATCCACATTCTCCTTACCCTTCTCTACCCTCTGCTTATCCTCCTTTGACCTCGACCCACCTGGTTGAATAATCTCTTCTTCTTTCGACTTAGCATGCCTCTTCGCCAATTGCTTATTGTTACTCACTGTCGTTTGATAACAGCTCCTTGAAATAAGTTGATCCCCTGTGATCTCGCCAACATTTTCGCCCACCGGATATTTGATAGTCATGTGGTACGTTGACACAACCGCCTGGAATGCGTTCAAGCTCGTCCTCCCCATAATAATATTATAAGATGATTCTGCTCCCACAACCACGAATCTCACCATCCGTACCTTTCTTATCACTCCTGATTCCAACGCAGCCGGCAAAGTTACCTCGTCCATCGGTATTACTTCGCCCATTAAAACCATAAAGAGTTGTGGCCACCGACTTCAACTCTATGCTCAGCTCCTTGTTAATCTGCACAAAACAATCATAAAACATCACGTCTACCGAACTCCCGGTATCAATGAACACCCTCTTCACATCAAAACCCGCCACCTCCACGGTAATCACCAAGGCATCATTATGCGGCAACACTATTCCCTCAACATCTTCTTCTCTAAAACTTATCTCCGGCATGTGAGCGGTAATTCCGACCTCCTCCCTCTTCCTCTTCACCGCTCGAGCATGCTCCTTCCTGACATTATTTGAGTCACCATCTGTCGACCCTCCTGAAATGATATAGATCGTCCCCCTTTCCAATGGTGCCTCATCTCCTCGCCCTCCTTTATCTCCGTCCCCCGCCTCTGCTTCATCCCTCGACCATCTCTTCCTCTTCTCGACTCATCGTCCCTCTCCTTATCTCGATCGCTTCTCTCCTCCGAATCCTCTCGACACCTCCTCTTTCCTTTCCTTTTTCCTCTATCATGATACAAAAACTCCTTCAAGTGCCCTGCTCGAATTAATCGCTCAATCTCATCCTTCAAATGCCTACAATTCTTCGTGGTATGGCCATAATCCCTATGGAACCGACAATAAAGGTTCGACTTGGGACGAGATGGATCCGTAAACCTCGTCTTCGGCCACATCACATCCTCGCTCTCCATCTTCTGCTCCATCACCTCGAGCACCTCCCCCACGTCTTTCCTCAAAGGTGTGAAATTGTAATACCTATGCCGCTCGAATAACAATGGCCTCCCCTGCCATCGATCATCCAGCTTTGCTTGCTTCGAATCTTGCCCATCTCTCCTGGGCGATACCCCCTTCGGTCCGCCCCGCCTGGGCGAACCCCTTCTGGTTGACCACCCTTTCGGTGGGCTCTTCCCCTTCTTCGGCTCTGGTCGAGCAACTCCCTCCAGCTTGGCAAACTCTGCCTCCATCTCCTCCAGATTGATATATTTCTTACACCTCTTCAACACATCCTCATACGATCGAGCAGGGGTCTATGCCAACGAAGTTCGGCAGGGCCCTGCTCAAAGACTCCTTATCAATCTGCCCGCATTTACCTCATCAGACCCGAATGCACCTCCAAACATGTTTGATTGTATCGAGCCACATACTTTCTCAACAATTCTTTCTCCCCTTGCTTCATCGCCATAAGGGTCAAATATGTTTTCTCCTGAGCCACTGCGCTCGAGTACTGATTGGTGAGCTTACTGGAAAAATCCTCGAAATCAGCAATCGACCCCGAGGGTAACTGATGAAACCAGTCGAGTGCTTCTCTCAGCAAGGTCGATAAGAAAGCCTTGCAACACACAGAATCAGAATATCCATGCAACACCTCCATATTTCCAAAAGTTCTCACATGCCTTGACGGGTCAGATGACCCATCAAACACCAAATTGGTCTCCCAGAAATTATTCGGCAAAGGTGCAGTCAAAATCTCCCTCGAGAAAGGGTGTCCTCCCGCCCTCCTGTTCTGCCTCCCTTCGACCTTGTCCTGCAACTGGCGCAACTGCTCCGCCATTCTCTCCATCGCCCGATCCCTCACATCTCCTCCATCTCCATGACTAGACACGTCCTCCTCCTGGCTTCTTTCTACTGTGGTCGGCGCGGTCGCGATGTGAGACGTGTGGTTTGTGACTTGTTGAACCGCCTACGCCGCCGCGGCCGCCACTGTAACACCCCGCTATTTACTGAAAATCAGAGTACGCTTTTCGCAAATTTTCTAAATAAATAAATAAAATATTTCTTTTTGCGAAATCTGATTCGGAGTGTTACCGTAAAATCTGACTGATTCTGAAAACAGTTAATTTTTAATCTGATAATAAAAACGGTTATAAATATATTAACCGACTAACGTCGGGTCAAAAACTGGTTTAAAGTACTGAAAACTGTAGCGGAAACATCAGTGTAGCCAAAACGTAATATATACATAATAACAAATGTCCTGAACCGCTCGCCAGCTCACTCCTCGTCTTCGACTCTGTGACCTGAAAAAAACATGAATAACGTGGGGGCGTGAGCACTAAAACACTGTGCTCCGCAGAAACTCATACTAAAGTAAAACAGGGAAAATAATAACAATATCATGATCCTGGCATATATAGCTGAACTGAAACTGAAACTGATAACTGATATCTGATACCGGTACTGATAATCTGATACTGATCTCGTGATATAAATCACCTGACTGATAACTGAACATCTGCCGGCATAGCCGGACACCATGTGCACACTCTAGTGGGCAGATTAAGGCCACTAGAACCCAGAATGGACCGGCAACCATTCCGAGCGGATACTGATAATACATACCTCAAACATGGTAGCGTAATTATAATCAATGTAGTACTTAGTCTGAGTCCCCACCTGATCCGTGAAAATGAAAGGTAGTGCTGACGAGTGATGCCTGATCAAACTAAAATATAATATAAACAATTACTAATGACTATGCTCAGACTGATAAATTAACTGATTAATTACGTTAAGATGCTCTACTAGACTTGACATGATATTTGGATTTAATCGGTATACCTGGAACCGGTTAAATACGGAACTGAACTGATATTAATTTACTGAACTGAACTGGACCCGAAATTTTAACTGAAACTGATACTGAAATCAAGAACCAGGACTAAAACATAAAAATATGGACTGAACCGGTCCAACCGGTCTGAACCGGACTGAACCGGTCTGGACCGGACCACCGGTCTGCTGAGCCGGCGGTCGGGCGCTGGCTTGGCCAGCAGGCTTGCCAAGGCTGCGCGCATGGGCATTGCCTGGCCTGGCCGCTGGCGCTGGGTGCTGAGCGCTGACTGTTGGCAGCACTGGGCACAGCCGCGCGTGCTAGCATGCGCTGGCGTGCTGCTGCCATGGCTGGCGTGCACTGGCACGTTTGGTGGGTAACTGGGCACCACTGAAGGCCGACTGAGACGCGTGCGTGCGCCTGGCGCATCGCAGACGTTGGGCTAGGCGCTGCCGTGCACTACGTGCGCGTCTACATGCGCGGGCTATGCGTAACTGACGCTGCTGGGCGCTACCGTGCGCCACAGCAAGCAACTGCCGCACGAACACTCACGCTGGCGTGCGCGGCGATCTGCTAGCGTGCACTGGGCACTACCAGTGGGCTGTGGTTGCGGGCAAGCTGTGTGCGACGCATAGCGGTACGCGCACACGCTTCCTGTCCGCGTTAGCTGACTGCCGGTGCGCTGCTGCCGCTGTGTGCGGGCAGCGCGACCACGACCGGCCCTTGCCGGCCGTCCGACAATTTCTCCCGACCGAAACAACATGAAACAACATGACACAACCTGAAATGATCATAACAACTTAACTTCCCTAAATTGAACAAGAAACATGAACTTTTGCTCAACGACCCCTCACGGCCGATGGCGTGCGCACCGTGCGCCGCCTATGGCGTTAAGCCATTTCCTCGACCGAACGTGAATTTCTCCCGAGTAACATCAACCAACTGAACTCAACATGACATAATATGATCAAAATAACATGATTTATTCGGGAGATTATCAACGTAAATCAACATAACTCGGTGGGACATGATATGGCTCGTGGCGTGCGCTACGTGCGCTGCTCACGTCCTTTGGCCATTTCACCGTTCAAACATGAGAATCCCTTGAGTAACCTGACCTATTTGATCATGAAACAACATATAACAACTAAATACATAAAGTTTACTCGAGGATTTCTGAAATAGATTCAAACCATCACGTGATCATGGCTTAAAGGCCATAAACCGAACATAATTAGGTTTTACTTGACATGAACTAAACATGGATCCCTAAACTGGTCATATTACATGAATTCATCAAGAAGATAATGATACCTCCTTGACCTCTTGGCTGGTTGTACGATGCTCGTGGCGCTCAGTGTCACCGTGCGCATTGTACGTGCTCTACGTGTGCGGTGCGCGTATGCCGTGAGCTTGAACGTTGCCTTGCGTGCGTGATTAGCCCCCCCAACTCTCCTCACTCTCTATACTTACTTAAACTATTTGGGAGAATATAAGAAGAAAGTCAAGCAAAATTCTCCCAACTCTAGCATATATATGATGGCCGAAGTGAGGAGGTGGGATTTTGCCACACATGGCTTAATCTTGGAGCAAATTAGCTTAGTCACCACTAACTATGCTTAGTCATGACTTAGGTGTTATGAGAAGGACACCTCATGCTTGCTAAGTGATGACTAATACATTACATTTTCCCACTAATTGCTCACGGTTTTTACTAAGGAAAATGGGACATAAATTGGACACTTTCATGACTTAAATGATAATTGCCATACATATTTTCCACAAAATTGCTCACGGCACTTTGGGAATAATAGAACATGATCAATGATTTAAGCGTGCTTATAATGTTAATTAAGCATAATTAACATGCTTGATCATTTGATAATACATGATTTATTTAATTAACTTGGTACTTAAATACTAAATTTAATCCGAACGTGAACATGACTTCGAAAATAATTTCGAAGAATCTTGACTGAAATAATTAATTCCGAAAAATAATACTTTCGAATTCTTGACTTGGACGATTAATCTGAATATTGATATTTTGAATAATTCGTCAACTTGACTTATTAATTCCGAACTCATTAATTAATAAATGAAATCGGAATTAAATGTGGAAACTTATTTGGTTACTAAAATAATTAGACCGAATAATTTATCGACTAATAGCCGAAGTTGGAATATAACGTAACTGAATAACTTGAACTTGAACATGAACATGATTATTTATTACAAAAGGCTTGCTTAATATTAAAAGCTAGTATTTTTCTTTATTAATAAAACTCGGGGTGTTACAGCCACCATCCTCTGCATCTCTTCGCTGGTCATCGCCACCACTTACTGACCGGGAACTTGAGCATCCGCCCGCGGTGGTGCTCCTCCTTGCACCGCCGGTCCTCCTGGTTGCGCTCTTACTGGATTTGGCTGAGGCGGCGGTGGCATCGCCGCCGCAGCTGCTGCTGCACGAGCTTCCTAGGCACGAATAGAGCCCGCACCTTCTCCGGGAACCGCCGCCGGCACATCTACACCTTGGAGAACAGACGTATGAGCGTCCTGGCCGGTTTGGAATAGATCGCCACTCGTCCTCGCCGGTGGAACGCCAGAAAACCTGCAAACAACTATCACACTAGGGGTTCTCCGGTGAAGAGCCTCTGATGCTTAAGTAATTATGTGTATGTTTGAGTAGAATAATGGAAGTTGTGTGTTAAGGATGAAAGGCTCACCCCTCTTTATAAAGGGGTGAGATACCTAACCTAAGGGCTACCCGGACTTGGTGAGCTGGCTGCCCCAACTACCCTTCCGTACTCTGACACGCCGCGCGTATGTCAGAGGTGGCGTTGGGAGTCGTCAGAGGTGGTTGTCGTTGTCAACCAATGCATTCTCGCCACGTGTCCTCCGCACATGGGATGATTATTCCTCTGAATATTCTCCTGAAATTCAGTTAGAGGCTCTTACACGCGCCTGTGATTAGATCGATCTCCAGAATGCTGCCAATCCCTAAAGTGGTCGATTTATTGAGGTCGAATCTACTGCTTGACTGCTCGACCGCTCGACTGGTCGATCTTTCAGCTACTTGTGATACGTTGTCTGTCCTAGAGTCTTCCACGTTTTATCTTCAAGGTGCTCGACCATCATCATCTTGCTCGATTACCGCTAGATTGGTTCGTTTCCTCGCCGTACAACCCCTTCGACCGGTTCAGCAGACCGGTTTACCCTTGTGAGTATAATACCTTATATCATAATCGGTATTGGCGCGCATAGAGACCCCGTACTCGTCCGATAGGCTGTCACCCGCGCTAAATCAACAAGTTTGACTAATAATTAGTAAACAACTTTTTTAAATTCGTATATTTTATTATTTATTATAAGATAATTACAATTATTATTATTAATAATATTGATGCAAATTAATCAAAATTAATATTATTAATATTATGTTATCATCCAACTCGGCAAAACATCATTAAGAAGTTTTAAGCATCATTGTTAAGTGACATTAACTATTGAACCGACGTGATCCAAAGCCGCGCTGGCCCACGCAATGAACCGGTCCAAACTACCAAAGACCGAAGTGGCCGATACCTACCGAGGTCTACTAAAACCGAGGTCCTACCTCCTAAGAACGAACCGAGGTCTCACTTCTTAAAGCAGGTGACAAGGCACCTACGCACCCCCGTCACGAATTACGAGATTTTTCATCATTCAAATGGGGCCCACTGATCCTGCCGCCCATCAAAAAGTAGCTTTATGAAAAAGCTAATGCACAAATCCCGAGATGTACGTAAAAAGTTGCTATAAATAGACTACCTACAACACTTGTACGGGGATCCCCGAACTCATTAATATGCAACACGTAAAAGCCCATAACGGCTCTTCACCTCGGTTCACCTCGGACCGGGGCCATTGTTGAGTTCTTTTTTACATGCTTTACGTCCAAACCGTTCGTAATTATCAACTTAATCACTTTTACATCGTTGTTACAAATCGCATAACAACAGTTTGGCGCTAGAAGGAGGGCCTCATAATTGATTTGAGGTTACTTTCCGCTTTCACGTGTAGCGATTCACGCCAGCCATATCCACCATGTCTCACTCAGATCACCGTGGTCACACCTCACGAGATGGCCACAGTCGCAGCGCCGCGCAATCCGCCAGACGACAGGCCATAGTCCCCCCTGTACCAGATTATACTGTTCTGTTTCAAAATCCAGAATTTGCACGAGGTTTCGCCGCTTTAATGGCTCAAACGATCCCCGGCGCGTCGACGGCTGCCCCGGGACAGTCTATAATACCGACGACTCCTGCAAATCCGCAGAATCCACCTGTGCGGCGAGACGGCGGGAGAACTACGTCTCACGCAAACTCTCAACCTCGCGATAGAGCGTCGCAACCACCTCCAGAACAAACTACACGTCGTACCGACGTTGGGCACAATCCTCCTATACTTCCTCAAGAAGAAACCGCCGAAAGCCAATCGGGTCATTCACGACGGTCACCGCCTCAGGCACAGCGCCGAAACCCCTCCAACCCGGCGCAGACCGACCTCCGGCAGCGTATAGAACGAAACCGGGCTCGTCAAGAGTCATCCGAACTTGAAACATTGCGACGAAGAATCGCCGAATTGGAAAGTCGACAACGGGCACCTGAAGATCCCCCTCGGCGGGCCTCCACCTCGGCGCAAGTGTATTTGGAAGCCGATTCTCCCCTCTCTCTGGAGCTCACTTTGGAACCTGTGCCTGGGAAAGTCAAAGTCCCTCAAATTGGACTGTATGATGGAACTTCAGATCCCGACTCACACCTCGGTCATTATACCTCGTGGATGGATCTGCATGGAGCATCGGACGCACTTCGGTGTCGTATGTTTTCTCTCACGCTGGGGCCTCGAGCCCAAAAATGGTACCATTCTCTTCCTCCTCACTCTATTTGGAAATGGCAACAATTGAGGTCGGCTTTCCGATCTCATTTCATTGGGGCTCAAGTCTGCCTAATCCCAAAAGAATCTCTTGCAAATGTCACTCAGAAAGACAACGAAAGTGTCAAGGATTATATTGCCCGATTTAATGACCAAGTTCAGAATATGGAACCTTGTCATCCCGAAACTCTGCTTGTCATGGCAATCGCTGGGCTAAAACCGAACTCAATTTTCCGCTGGACACTGTGCCAGAATAAACCGAATACTTTTCAAGAATTTCTCGCCCGAGCCCAGCAACATATTATAGCTGAGGAAGCCATGTCGGTCCCCGACTTTAACTTTAATCCGAAGTCATCTAAGGCAGGAACCGATGAGAAGAAAAAGAATAAATATTTTGAAAAACAAAACAAGACTCAGTTCAGGGGGCCTCCCCGGGGAGATCCCAACGATCCTGAAGTTCGAGCGGCCCGAAAACAATATGCTACCGATGTGAAGTCCGGTTATGAAACCGTATACTCTGCAGGAGCAGCCACCATATATGAAGAAATCAAAGGGAAGGGCATTTTACCAGATCCCAAACCACTTCGGATGCCCGAAGAAAAACTGGACAAGTCCCGGTATTGTGATTATCATAAATCGCCAGGGCACAACACGGACGAGTGTTTGAGTTTGTCAGCCGCATTGTTGCGTTTGATTGGTCATCCGCAACTTAGAAAGTTTTGCCGTAATACCGATCCACAGAGGCGAGGTCCGGGGCGTCAGATCGAACCCTTTGATGAAGACGATGAAGAGGACCGAGGTGCCATGCCAAAATGCATCCGACAAGGAGACAAGGAAGTATTTATGTTCACCTCGGAAACGCCCGAGTCAAACTTTACTGGAACTGCCCGAGGACGTAAACGAGGTCGATCTCCTGAACCGATGCAAATCACCGTCCATCGTGTCAATACCAATAACTCCCGGAGTACATTATCCCGTCGACAGATCAAGGCTTACGCCCGACAAGCCTACAACTCCAGCAAACAAGTGTACACTACAGATTTGAGAGATATCCTCAACAATCGTAATTGTCCCATAACTTTTAATATAGAGGATGCTAATCACTTCGCACACCCTCATTCCGACGCACTTGTTATCACTGTCCCAATATGCGGAATCCCCGTACATCGTGTTATGGTGGATACTGGGGCCTATTCTAGCATTTTGATGTTAAAAGCTTTTGACAAAATGGGACTTGATCCCGCCGACATCCGACCTTGCAATGATCAGATACAAGGGTTCAATGGCAGTATTTCGAAGCCTATCGGCGAGATCACTTTACCTGTCAGATTCGGCACTTCGGAGAATGTCACTAAGCTCGTCATGGAAACTTTCAAGATTCTGGATATCAATAATGAATACAATGCCATCATCGGCAGAACAGCATTGTATAAACTTCGAGCTGCAGTTTCGATTTTTCACTATGCTCTGAAGTTCCCGACTACACAAGGAGAAGGGACACACTTCGGAGACCAGAGAGAAGCTCGAGAACTTATTACATTCATACCATCTAGCGGCGTCCATTCCACCTCGAAAAACAACTCTCCATCACAAAGCGTCTTGAACAACACGGCGTCCGAAGAACCGAACAACCACGTCAGTGATTCTTCCACCTCGGATCCTTTGACCGAAGACCGAGGACGTCAGCCGGGAAAGGAGCCACTTTTTGAAGAGGACGAGTTGGACCCCAGAGCCTTGTTTAAAGAAAAAAGCCGAAGTGATCGAGCCGAACCTGGAGAAGACGTAGAATTGATCTATATCGATGAACCAGTCTTCCACAAATCATTGCGTATTGGAAGTCATCTTCAAGAACCTCTTCGGTCAGAACTTATCTCGTTTCTCAAACACAATTCTGATGTTTTCGCTTGGAAGCACGAGGATATGAAGGGTATCAACCCCGGTGTTGCTAGCCACAAGTTGAACCTCGATCGAACCATCCGGCCTGTTGTGCAAAAAAGAAGAAAACTGGGGCCGGATCGTCAGAAGGCGTTGGAAGAAGAAGTCAAAAAACTCATCGGCAACAAGTTCATCAAGGAAGCCAAATACCCGACGTGGGTCTCAAACCCTGTTCTTGTCAAAAAGAGCAATGGGCTATGGAGACTGTGTATCGATTTTTCCGACCTGAATAAGGCGTGCCCGAAGGACAGTTATCCGCTTCCCCACATAGATTATATGGTTGATGCAACGTCGGGACATGAGTTGATGAGTTTCATGGATGCTTATTCGGGCTATAATCAGATTCCTATGGATCCTGAAGATTCTGAACACACCTCATTCTATTCGGCCCGAGGCTTGTACTGTTATACTATGATGCCATTTGGATTAAAGAACGCCGGAGCCACATATCAACGTCTCGTCAACAAAATGTTCGCTACACTGATCGGTCGCACTATGGAAGTTTATGTTGATGACATGCTCGTCAAGTCGGTGCACGCCTCTGATCATATAACGCATCTTCAAGACATGTTCGCCATCCTCCGATCTTATTCCATGGTCTTAAATCCTAAGAAATGTACTTTTGGAGTTGAATCTGGAAAATTTCTGGGCTATATGGTCAGCCAGCGTGGAATTGAAGCCAATCCGGCTAAAATAAAGGCCATTCAAGATCTAACTCCCCCGACCTCGGTTAAGGGTGTTCAGGCCCTAACCGGCCGACTTGCTGCACTCAACCGGTTCATCTCCAAGTCTACAGATCGTTGCAGACCCTTTTTCGAAGCAATCAAAAAAGGAAAACGTTTTGAATGGACCGAGGAATGCCAGAAAGCTCTCGTTAGCATTAAGGAGACGCTTGCCTCTCCGCCGACTTTACAAAAGCCAAAACCCGAGGAAATGTTGTTCTTATATCTCGGAGTCAGTGATTCTGCCATTAGTGCCGTTTTGATACGTGAAGAGGGACTGTTGCAATCGCCTATCTATTATGTCAGCAAAGCCTTGCATGATGCCGAATTACGTTATCCCCCGATGGAAAAATTAACATTTGCGCTGGTCATTGCTGCACGGAAATTACGACCTTATTTTCAAGAACATTCCATAACTGTCCGCACTTCGTATCCACTCCGGCAAATCCTGCACCGACCTGATACCTCGGGACGCATGGTCAAATGGCCCATTGAGCTCGGACAATTCGACATCCATTATCAACCGAGGACCGCGATCAAGGCTCAAGCCTTATCTGACTTCATCGCCGAATTCACTCCGGCCATAACAGTTCATCATGATAATCAACCATGGGCCCTCTATATTGATGGATCCTCAACAGCCAACCGAGCAGGCGCAGGGATAGTTTTAGCTGACCCGGAAAACCGGTTATTCTGTCACTCGGTAAAGTTTCTCTTCCCGGCAACCAACAATGAAGCCGAATACGAAGCCTTGCTATCCGGATTGAATTTGGTGGAATCCATGAACGTGAGGCACCTTAAAGTCTTCTCGGACTCTCAACACCTTGTCAACCAAATCAATGGTTCATATGAAGTCAAAGAACCTCGGTTGACACCTTATCTCTCTTTAGCCAAACGGAAATTATCAAAATTCTCCGCCGACCTCGAACATATCCCCCGAACTCTTAATGTTCAAGCAGATGCCTTATCTCGGCTGGCATCCAGTACCGGGATGGAGAGCGCGGAGTATGTCCAAATCGGCCAGCAAGAGCAACCGTCGACTGCACTTTTCGAGGTCGCAACTATCGATCCGGTGACGCCACAAAAGCCACCAACTTGGATGGATCCTATTATGCATTATTTAGAAACTGGGGCCTTGCCCCCATACCCAAAAGAAGCTCGTGCACTTCGGATCCGAGCAGCTCGGTACACTTTGGACAACGGAACTTTGTTTAAAAGGGGATACTCTGTAATATCCCGATATTTTATCGGTATAAATTATGGTTAGTTCCGATATAATAACGTTATCATTTATTATTTTCGGAATTAATTATTATCAGTCGAGATTACCGAAATCTATTTTCGACGTACCGTTTACGTTGGAATAATTTTGGTAATTAAACATTATATTTAATTAAATAATTAAACATAAGTAGTGATTAATTAGTAAATTAATCACACACTTAAGCATTAAGCCGTGAGTTAGGGCAAAATTTTCTCCAATTTGTAGCAAATTGCCGTGCACTATGTATATGTTCCAATTTTACTAAGCTTTCCTAATTCTTAAGGAAGAATTTTCTTCCCACACTTGGAGTTCCACGTGGCTTAAGAAGAGATAAAGTATGGGGATTAGTCATCAAAAATCCCTTTCATTAACTAGCAAATGTTGAGAGGAGAAGGGAGCCACGTCTTCAATACATCATCATCATCCCCCTTACGGCTTTGGTATAAATTGAAGACTTTGGTCGAATTTTTCCCTCATTTTCTTATAAGACATAAGCAGCATATTTCCTCCTATATACTCCCCATATTCAGCAGCAAGAAAGATAGCAATCTCCCTAATTTTCCCATCTAAACGCACGGCCAAGATAGTATAAGCGCACGACACACGCAAGGACAAGAAGCACGCTCTATTTTTCCAATTCAGTCGAGCGATTCAAGAGGTAACGTCCTCCCCATCTTGTATTCACGTTGTTAAGGTCATGTTAAGGTGAAGTGTTCGGATCATATTTGAAAATTTCTAGGAAAATCATGCTTAAGGCCGATCATGCTTAAGTAAGATCACGACCGAACAACTTTCAATTTTTCCCGGCAACTCTCGAACTGTTGATGGTTAAATGTTCAGCTTAACTGATTTCATGTTCAGTAAGTTCAGATTAGTCGAGGCAAAATGAAGTTTTGTCGATGAATTGGCCCACGCCGTCGCTAGCGCCTATCGCGCGTAGCCACGGGCGGCCGCGGGCCATGTATTAGTGATTTCAGTAGTCATCATGTTCCGTCTGTGTGTTTATGTTTATAATTGCCTCACATTAATGTTAATGTTAAGTTGTTCTGAAGTTGCCGAGGAAGAAGGGGTTGTGGCCGAGAGACGGCGTATAGCCGTCGGCGGCGCACGGCGCGCCCGCCACGGTCTTTTCATGTTCATCGTGCAACGGTGGCGTTTTCAGGTCATGATTGATAAGTATATTCATGTTAAGTCAGGTTATGTTCAGTTATGTTAAGTTGGTCGAGATATTTTTCAGTTTGGTCGAAGATTTGGCCGTAGGCCGTAGGCCTCGCACGTAGCGAGCCTACCGCGGCCGTGTGTTAAGTCCAGCCAGCAGGTTCAGCAATTCCTTTATAATTCGGTATAATGTTCATGTTAAGTCATAAAATGTTAAATGAAGTCAGTTCGGTCGGAGAATTTTGCCGGACGGCCGGCAAGGGCCGGCCGTGGTCGCACTGCCGCACACAGCGGCAGTAGCGCATCGGCCAGCAGACAGCGCAACAGACAGCACGCGCAAGCGAAGCTGCGTGCGTGATGCCTGTACGCGGTAGCATGCGGGCGACGCCAGTAGCACGCCCGCCAGCAGTTGCGCACGCCCGAGTGCGCAGACCTCATCCAGTCCCTGCTGCGGCGCGAGGGCGCCCAGC